CAAGGCCAGCTCTGGGTCAAGCCGGCAAAGCCGTCACTTTATGCCCCAAATTTGAGCTAAAAATTAGGATGCCAAATTTAAAAGAAAAAAAAAAAAATTCTTATAATGTTTTTTGACCTCAATTAAATGAAGGCTCCAAAATATTTAACATCAAAACTCACCTATCTCCAACCCTCAACACCAAACTCAAAAATAAAATTATTTTTATTTGATTTCAATTTATCAAGACCTAACTAAATTTAGCACTTAATATATTAAACCCCAAAACAGCATAATTTTATTAATGACCGGTCCAAAGTAGTTGATTTTACTTTATCAAATGTCTCTCCAAGTCAAGTCAACATTATGAGATTGATCTTTTATAATCTTAACATTTTCTCTAGGTACCTTTAGATTGTGTATCATTTCAAGTTTTACTTGTTAATTTTATTTGAAATTTGAAACCTCAACACAAGGAGTTGTAGTATTGTGGTAAGGTCTTGGGGTTTAAGCCTCAAGGTCACAAGTTCAATTTTCCTCTTGAACCAATCTCCTAGGCGAAGCACTCCTAGTTAGGAGGTTGGATCTTAAGTTGTCTAGTCAGCATTTGGTGTGGGTTCAATACTCCCCCACTGTATGAGTCCTGACTTAAGCGGAGCTTATCTTGGGAGGTCGGGTATGAGTCCTGACTTAAGCAGAGCTTATCTTGGAAGGTTTTGATATTATAGTTCTAGATTTTTGTATAGTATTTTTTTTTCTTGTGTAAATTGTTAGATATAAACAATAATACTGAATTTTATCCTTTAAAATTTTTGTAATAATTTTTTAAGTTGATTTTTTTTTTTAGTGATATGAAGAAATGTAGGACCCCATATTGAGTGTTCGCTTTAGGCCCCTAAATGTTTAAAATCGGCCCTGTTTGGCTCTCACATAATAATTTTAGTTTTTTTTAAAAAAAAATTATTTTATTTAAAATTACACTGTAAATATCAATTTCGTTTAGCATCAATCAATTTTTTTGCAATCAATTTCGTTTCCCAAGAATGAGGTATTTTGTCCACATAAAAGTAAATATCAAATTTATTAGCTTCTTAAAAAAATATTTAATTTATTTGTACCTTTGCTCAACATTTTCCATACTAGTAAAGGTAAATAAAACTAATTATTAGTTTTTTAATATATGTTTTAAGGACACAAGTAAGGATTTCATTCAATAATAATACTCCACAGGCTACTGTCTAGGAGAGCAACAAATGTGCAGATACCTTAACTAATATGGGAGTTAATTAAAAGTTTTAAAAGATTCCCTGATCAGATTATGAGTAAACTTATTTTGCAGACATGATAAGTAGTAATCTTGTAATCACTGCAAAATCAGTACTTTTAGCGATTATTTTTTGCGACTAATATAAAAATTGATAGTTAAAAGTTACCTTTTGACGACCAAATATTAATTAGTCACGAATGATCATTATTTTTGACGACCAAATATGAGTTGGTCGCAGAAGGTCATATTTTGGCGACCAAAAAATGAGTTGGTCGCAGAAAGTGATATAGTTTTGACGACCAACTATAAATTTGGTCGCGGAAGATAAAAAATAAGTTGATTGTGGAATTGGCGACCAAAATTTTGGTCGCCAAAAAACTTATTTTTAGTGACTAAAAGTATTTTAGTCGCCGTATATTAAGGCCTCGTTTAGGAACAGGCTAATTTAGTAACTTTTTGGCTATTTGGCTAAAAAGATAGGTAAAAAAAACTTGTATGTTTGGGATGACTTTTTGGCTAATTACGAAAAGATGTGCAAAAAGTAGAGAGAAAAGAGAATCTTTGACTTTTTGGTATGGGTTGTTGGCTTTTTAGCTAATTTAGTAACTTTTTGGCTAATTGGCTAAAATAGCCTCTTGCCAAACGAGGCCTAAGTTTTGGCTACTAAAACTATTTCGCCGAATGGAAAATAAAATATTATTTTTTATCTTTGGTGACCAAAATTTTGGTCGCCAAAAACTTATTTTCAGCGACTAAAAATATTTTAGTCACCGTATATTGAGTTTCGGCTACTAAAACTATTTAGTCGCCGAATGGAAAATAAAAAATTATTTTTTATCTTTTGGCGACCAAAAGTTTGGTCGCCAAAGACTTATTTTTAGCGACAAAAAATATTTTAGTCGCCGTATATTGAGTTTTGGCTACTAAAACAATGTAGTCACCGAATGGAAAATAAAAAATTATTTTTTATCTTTTCGCGACCAAAATTTTGGTCGCCAAAAAACTTATTTTTAGCGACTAAAATAAATATTGAGTTTCAGCTACTAAAACTATTTAGTCGCCGAATAAAAAATAAAAAATTATTTTTTATCTTTTGGCGACCAAAAGTTTGGTCGCCAAAAACTTATTTTTAGCAACAAAAAATATTTTAGTCGCCGTATATTGAGTTTTGGCTACTAAAACAATGTAGTCACCAAATGAAAAATAAAAAATTATTTTTTATCTTTTGGCGACCAAAATTTTGGTTGCCAAAAAACTTATTTTTAGCGACTAAAAATATTTTAGTCGCTGTATATTGAGTTTTGGCTACTAAAACAATGTAGTCGCCGAATGAAAAATAAAAAATTTGGAATTACAAAAAACTTATTGGCGACCAAATTTGTTGTCGCAAAAAAAAATCGAGAGTATTTGAGACGACAGAGATTGTTGTCGCAAAAAAATAGAGTTTTTTTGCGATAGCACCAGCTGCATTCGCAAAAAAAAAAAGAACAGTTTTTTGCGACTATAATAAGTACCGTTGCAAATATATATATATATATATATTGTGGCTTTGAGACGTCTTCATATATATATAGTCACAAAATGGTTTAAATAAATGCAACGTCATTTTTCTGTCACGAAAAAAAATTTAAAAAAACAACGTCGTCTTACTCTTTTGATATAATATTTCCTTTTTCACCCATTTTTTCATCTTCTTGTCTATTTGTCTCTGTCTCTCTTCTCTTTCTCTCTCTCACTCATCACTCTCTGTCTGTCTGTCTCTTTTTTTCTCTCTGTCTCTGTCTCTGTCTCTCTTCTCTTTCTCTCTCTCACTTATCACTCTTCTCTGTCTGTTTGTTTGTCTCTCTCTCTCTCTCTCTTTCTCTCTGTGTCTCTCGTCCATCTCTCTTCTCTCTATCTCTCTCATTTCTCTTCTCTCTCTCTCTCGCATCTCTCTTTTCTTTATCTCTCTCGCTCATCTCTCTCTGTCTCTCTTTCGTTATCTCTTTTCGCTCTCTTTCTTTCTCTTTCTCTTTGTCTATCTCTCGCTCATCTTTTGTTTCTCTTTTTTTGTCTCTCTCTCTCTCTCTCTCATTTATCACTCTTTTATCTCTCTTTCTCTCTCTGTCTACATGTCTGTTTGTTTGTCTGTCTATCTATCTCTCCCCCCCATTGTGTTCGCCTTGCTCACTTTCTCCCTCCATTCTTCTCTATTTACCGAGCTCCCTCTCGATTTATCAATCCACTACAAGAAAATGCACTTTTAGCGACCACTTTGTCTCTCCCACTCATCACTCTGTCTCTGTCTCTCTATCTCTCTTTTCTATCTGTCTTTCACTCATCTCTCTTTCTCACCACCTATCTCCTCTACCACTTTCACCATTACTGCAAAATGTCATTCCACTACCACAACTACTACCACTGTTACCACTGCACCTCTACTACTACCATTATTACCACAATCGCCACCACTCCACCACCACCACCACCACTACTACTGCCACTACTACTATCATTATCTCTCATCTACCACCGTCACTCCATCTCCTCTACCACTACCACTACCACAACTTCACCACAACTCGTTCATCTCTCTTCTCTCTATCTCTCTCGTCTCTTTTCTTTCTCTATCTCTCTTGTTCATCTCTCTTCTCTCTATATCTCTCTGTCTCTCTCGCTCAACTTTTTTCTCTCTTTATCTCTCTATTTTTCTATGTCTTTCTATCTCACTCTTCCATTGTGTTCACTTTGCTCACTCTCTCCCTCCCCTCTTCTCTATTTATTAAGCTCTCCACTACAAGAAAATGTACTTTTAGCGACCACTTTGTCTCTCTCTCGCTCATCACTCTGTCTTTGTCTCTGTCTCTCTCTCTATCTGTCTCTCACACATCTCTCTCTCTCACCACCCATCTCCTCTACACATTCACCACTACTGCAAATGTCATTCCACTACCACCATTATTACCAATGTTGTCACTCCACCTCTACGACTACCATTACTACCACCATCACTACCACTACCACCACTGCTACCACTACTACTACTGCTATTACCTCTCCTCCTCCATCACCACTCCATATCCTCTACCACTACCACAACTTCACCACTAATCTCCTTCGTCATCACCACCACCTTCACCACTACTGCCGCTCCCTCTCCTCTACCACAAAAAATTAGCTCTTGATTTTTAGTAATAAAAAAAAATGGGCCACAAAAAATTATTTTCCATTGACCATAAAAAATTAACTTTATTTTAACGGAAAATATTTTCCAATAAAATATTACCCCTACTTCTACCAAATAAAAAAAAAATCATTAAAATAAAGTTAATCTGTCTGTCTCTATCTCTCTACATGTCTCTATCTCTCTAAATTTCATTAACTTTATTTTAATTGAAAATATTTTTCATAAAAATATTACCCCTACTTTTACCAAATAAAAAAAATCATTAAAATAAAAATGAAACAAAAAAATTTTCAACCTTAGTAATTAAAAAAATAAAAAAATTAAAATTAAAATTCATTAACTACAAAAAATATATATATGTATTTTAACAAAAAATAAATAAAACTACCAGCTATCCTAACTCTCCTCTTCTTTTCTTCTTTTTTTTTTTTTTTTTTTTTGATTTTTCTTCTTGTGCCAGTTATTAAAAATAAATAAATAAATAATCAAAGTTTTGAATTTTATGTGGCAATGAATGCCATGTTTGTATGCATGTCACTGTAGAATGTAGACCCTCATGATATCTCTTGGAATTAGAAGATCTAGGGAGAGGGAGAGGGAGTTGATCGGAGATTCTCAAAAATGGTAAACTATCACTTCGTGTACAAGGACGTGGAATGAGCTTCGACTCAATGGGACGATATTTAGAGAAAATTAGGAAACCTCCCTCCGAAGCCCCCTACAATCAAGCCCCCATCTTTCAAGCCCGTCGAGGACGAAGACTCTAAACACAAAGACAAAGCCCGCCACCGCGACTGCGACTACCACCGACGACTACGACTCTGTTAAGTTCTCTCTCTCTCACTTGTTTGTTGCTCTCACTCTGCCCCTTTCCCTCTCCTTCTAATTTTCGAACCCTAACAAGTGATTTTTTTAAGGCTAGGGTTGGTCAAAGTCGTCTATCTCCTATGTGATTTTGATGTTGATTCAATTTGTTCATTTCCAAGTTCTTTTTCTTTAATTTAATTTATGTGTAAATTTTGCAAACCTTCAAACTGCACACAACTGTATGCTTAATGCCTACTGATTTTTCCTTCTCTTCTATTTCAGTCCCTTAATTTCATTTATCAAAAAATTAAAAAATTGCGCCCTTTAATTTTCTCATGGTGGTTTCATTAGCAATCCTCCTATATTGCAGAAACCTTGCTGGAAATAGCTTCACTGGTGGCATCCCGTATTCCATATCTCAAATGACTTCCCTAAAATACCTGTTAGTCAAGCATCCGAAATTTGACTTTTATTATTCATGTCAAAACTATTTAAAACTTCATACTTAACCACTGGTTGTTACATTACGCTTTGATTGTAGAAATGTTGGTCACAATCAACTTCAAGGCCAAGTGAATGACATGTTTGGTGAGCTTTTATTCGTCTCCACGTTGTAAGTTTACCCTCCATCACCTTTTTTCCTTGTGGAGTTCTCCCAATTATGCATACCTTGACATAGTTGAGGCGTTATCAACAGCATTGTCTTTCATTATGATGTACAAGACTAAATGATTATGTTCTGTCTTTTTTCAATTCTTAAACACTTTGGTAGTCATTACTTTCCATGCCACAGATGAGAAGCTTTATTTTGTGTTTTGTTTATTTTTTTGGGGAACAAATCAATATTGGTTGTTATAGCATTCTAAAGTATGTACTTTAGAAAATGTTACAAGTGCTGACTAGCTCTTCAAAAGGTGGGGTGGGGTGGGAGGGGGGAAGTAATTCAACCTCTTAAAACTTTTTTTTTTGGGCCTTTTGTATTATGTAGTTTCCATGGATTGAACTAAGCATTACAGCTTTTCTGTCCGTCCTGGATATTGATTTGATAGACGACTCATTGGGATAGATGTGGATGAATAAATAATATGCCCCATAGACACATGTAGGAAGTTTTCTCCCCATGCCTTTCTTTGTTCATGGTTCAATGTTCTGGTGTCCAAGGAGCCATTTTCAAGATGTAGAATAGTAATAGGGTACCATGATTATTTTTATGTACACTAAGGAGCTACAGGATGTTAAATTACTTATCTCCCCCATTGAGGTTTGTTCTATGGTAAAGCCCTCAACTTAACTTAAATGTAACATTTTTGCTCACAAACCTCGTGTACTCGCAAATAATTTGGTTGAACTAAAAAGACATAGGAAGTAATTAGCTGTTTTGATAGGAGTTATTTAGGTGAAGAAAGACATGATTGATCGTGTTGAACCTATAATTGTGTGCTTTGACTTGTTCATTTGAGTTCTTGTTTGTATAAGGGTGGCAACCCCTCTAATGTTGTTTCTTTAATCTATTATTATTTATCAAAAAAAAATTGAATTTTTATTTGAAGGCATATTTCCACTTGCTTTTAGTAAAAAAATTAGGATTTTTGTACAAGCTACATCCATGAAGAACACACACTATGACGTTTCTGACTTCAACTCAATAGTTATGAACTGCACTATGATGTTTGTGACTTTGGCTGAAGTTTTTAGAACTCCAAGGGTGGTTTGGGTATGACTTATTTAGTGTTGAGCTTCCCCTTGCACTGCTGTTTTTGGGGTCCTTTCCTTCTGTCTGTGATAGGTGAACAGACGAAATCTTTTCGTGATGTCTCTTCATATCCATGCTAAAGATCATTAGTGTCCTATTGTGGGTTCTCGGTGTTTGTAACTTCTTTGATATCACTGTTAAACAAGGTTCATGTGGCTGACCCTTGAAACACAAATAGGGATTATTTACATTGTTTGTTTTTCTACTAAGTTGTGGCTTTTGAAAATACATTTCCTTAGTCATGATACTTAATAGAAAGGGGATTTTTTTTCCTCCAAATATTGTATCCAAATTCTAGCTGTAATCTATAGAATCAAGGATCACAAATCCATGATTCAGTAGTACGTGTTAGATGCAGGCCACCATTGTCTACTTCCCTTAGTACGTGTTAGATGCAGGCCACCATTGTCTACTTCCCTTGATGTATTTCAATTTAGATTGACCAAAACCTTTCTTTGAACTCAGGTACACCCAGTTATCTTAAAAGAAATGTTTAGTGATGAAACTCTAACTAAGATATTAGTTTTTTGTCTTATGAATTCCCACTGCTGAGTGGCTTGAGCCTAATAATTTTCTTTATACCATGTACATAAGCTAAGCTGAAACTATAAAAGGGGCTAAATTTCTGTAGGTCTTATTAAAATACAATGTTACTTGTATTTCCATTTGTTTGAAACTACTTGAGCACTGTATTTAATTATAACTCTATGGCATCATTTTTGCAGCGATTCAAACTCCATCTGCAGTCATCACAAAAACATTTGAAACTTCAGCCACAATAAACCTAAGACCTCCACATATTGATCGTCACAAGTCATTTGATGAAAGATGATTTCTCAAGGAAATCCATTGTTCCCATCGTTCCCAAGAAAGTCCATAGACCTCTAGTAAATGCTATATCATATTCAATAGCAGACCTGAGCAAAAAAGTCCATACACCTCCTTCTGGGGTATGATTATGTGGGTCATGTACTTCTCTTGAAATGGTTATTAGTTCTCCAATTCTCTTAGATATAGGTTGTCTCAGGTTTGTTATAGTAGATTCTTTTATTAGTATATTCTATAAAATTGCAATTATTGCTCTTTATAACACTACAAGAAATTAAGGTTTTAAAGACAAATTTTTAGAGACAAAAATAATTTGTCTGTAAAAATTATACTTTTAGAGGCAAAATGAAAGAATTTAAAAATAAAATAAAATAATCATATTATTATATTTTTAAGACAAAATTATTTGGTTGCAAAAGAGTTAATGACTTTTTGCCTACAATTTTGATTCGTACCCAATAAACTCAACTCATACATTATTTTATTTTATTTTCATTCTTTCAATTTCAATAGTCGGGACTTCATTTCCTTCTCCACACCAATCTCTCTCTCTCTCTCTCTCTCTCTCTCTCTTTATATCGAAGTCCTAATTTCATTGTTCTCGATGGTTTTTTGATTTTAATCCCTCTCTCTCGCAATCGAATCCCTGATGGCTGTGAGCACAAACTGATCGTAGTGTTCTTCTGATCTCGTTGATTTCAACAATTAAGGGATAACATAGCATCTCTCTCCACTGTGATTTCAACATCCAAGTTCAATCGATTAATCGATTTCAGTCTCATTGATTTGGTTTTTGATTTCAGCATCCAGTGTGATTAATCGATTTATCGGTGCAGTGTTTGTGTTGATGATGTATTATCATAATATGATTCGTTTTAAATTCGTATTTGTGAGTGTTAGATTCGGTAATTGTGGATATGAAATAGCCGTAATTGTGGAGAGAGAGACAAATGCAAAATTTATATTTGTGAGTGTTTGATTCGTTTTGCATTTGTCACAAAATTTATATTTGTGAGTGTTTGATTCAAAATTACTTCATTTTGAAAGTAATATTGAATTCTTGATTTGTCTTTTAGTCTTAATCATAATAATTCAACGGCTCTGTTTGGTTTAGCAGTTTTCAAAATCTGTTTAGTTTGGTGAAAACAAAAATTATCTTATAATAGCATGTATTATCTTATTTGCCATAATTTTCTCAGCTGAAGTTTAAATGACTATACTGAGTCATTGATCCTGTTTGTGTGACAGTTGTCTATCTTTCCATAGGAAGGATGACAAACTGAAACTTGTGGTACCCTGCTGTGTTGTTGTCAGGACTACACCAATGACATCAGGTAGACTCCAAGAAAGAGGGTCGGGTTTGTCTATCAATTGGGGGGGTAGTTTTTTTTTTTTTTCCCAAATAAACACCGTTGAGTAGATTAGGAATTTAAATTGGTTTGCTTCAAAACTTGTTTCCTAGTCTAGAAGTGGGAATTTATAAATGTGTTAATCAAGAAGACGAATGTTGCTCCCATTAACTCTACCAATTCCTCTTTGCATATATTTATACAAAGGCTAAAGTTAGTGTTGATGTCTCACTTTTTAGATTTTTTAAAAAATATCCCAATAGTAATTACATGAGTAATTATGCCATTAAATTTTTTTTTTTTCAAACCTCTTAACTGTTAGTCTTTTTAATTCATAAAATGTATCAATTTTCAAATTTTGATAATTCAATCATACATTTCAAAATCTTATTTCTCTGGGGGAAAAAAAATTGATCATGTGCAAACTAATGTGTGCCATCACATAATATTTTATCTACTGCTTTATTGAGAGATTAATTTAATAGTCAATTGTTCATTTTCAACTGTTGCGCCTCTAAAGAAGCTAAGACATCCTATTGTTGCTTATTTCTAATCCTGGGTTAGTTGGGAGTAGATCACTAAATATTTGAATATTGAGGTTTATATGTTGTTATATTTTTATTTGCATATGGTGGTTGCCTTGGCAGAATCTTTCATCTTTATTCCATTTCTCTACACATATTTCACAATTCCAATCTTGTTCTCTACTTCCAGGCATGATCTGTTGTTATCTTCTGATAAAAAATTCCTACTATTGCTTGTTTTTGACTTTTGTTTTTATATTTTTTTTATGAACCTTTGTATCATGAAACTCATTTGCTGTTGAGTTTGAGGATCAACATTTTGAGGGCTAAATGTGCACTTTCTTATTCATGGGGTAGCTTATTTCGTTGCCTCATAACTCTGAACATCATTAAAGCTTTAGCAATAATCATTAGTTAATTTGGATCTATTTTATTACCTAGATATTTAATTAGAGTCTGAAATTTTCAATTTTATTTATTTTTAAGCTTCAGGCAATCAAGGATGGTAGAGAGAACTCATATGTATTGTATATTGTATAAGCTCAAAGGCCTATTTATGAAGTTCTTAAAACTTTTTGTAGTATCAATATGTGAATTATTGTTTTAGGTTCGTTTGGTAAAATATCTGCTAAATTGAACAGGCTAGGGAAGAAGCAAGATACGTGTTTTGCAAGTAGATTAAGATAGATTTTGATTAAAAATGAGGATGTGAGAGAACAGTGAAAGCTGTATGTGAAAGAAAGTTCTACAATATCCTATTTTGTGGAGAATGGAGCCGTAGTGGTATTGCAGAGGCATTAGGCACATCATCCTAATATCCTCATTCATCTATCAGACCTCATTGGGGATTTTTTACTGGTTCTAATCTGTAATTTCAGGCTAGTACCTAACCATTTCTTATACTATGCCTTTTGGTGACTTCTCTAGCAATTAGCCATTGGATAAACAAGTGCTGCCTAATAGTTCTAGATTTTACCAAAGCTTTATCCATTTCATGTTTTGTTTTTTTTTTATTTTTAAAATCCATTTCATGTTGCCTAGCACAAGTTCAGGCTACAATCTTGTTTTTTGTTTTTCTTTTCTTGAATATTTATCTAGAGAACAACAGGGGTTAGACGTAGTCTTAGGCTCTATTTTCAGATCATGAATTTAGATTGAGAGAAAGTCAGAAAGCCCTTGCAAGAAAGATACATTACACTTGAAAGTCAGTTTTGTGAAAGATTGCCTCACAAACTATCACTGAAACTCATTAAGAAAATCTCAAAAATTCTTGCTACCAAAGGTTCCAAATTTTCAAAAGCCTAAGAAGATGAGGACTCATTTTGATGTTTAGGCTGTGGTCTCAAAAATCTTGGGCCGATATTGGTGAGCCGTGGTTTTGTAGGTGGGGTTGGAGTTTTAACAGATCCGATCTGAATCCGATCCATTTACAGGCCTAGTCTATACTGGTGGTTGTCATGGATGTGAGTGTACATTTAAGTATATGGGTGTGTTATTTTGCAGGAGATGATGTGCAACTAATGACAAGGAGGCAAATGCAAATGCAATAGTCTTTATAATATAAATTAGAGTGCTTTTGAACTGCAATATGGGTTGATTGGCTATAATAGAAACAATTGCCAACTTCAATGAATATTTATGCACATCATCATTAAAAGTGATTTTCTCTTCAGAATTAGATTACTGTTTTTTAAATAAATTTATACCCATAAACATCTCGGGTTTTAAGAAACTGTGCATTTCTACATTGTCCTCTGATAATTGAATGAACATGTTTATGAAAGTGTATAGGACCCTACAGATCTGCATTTCTTATTGATAGCATTTTTGTGGTAAAAATGTAGTCTATGTTTTGACCGTGGATTGAATGAACATGTCTATGTTGTTGGTCGATTCTAGGTAACTCCACTAACAAGACCGGGCATGCAAGTCTAGTGAGCATCAGGTAGCACAACAGGTGATTGCTTGTGCGCATTCTACCACATTAACAGCACACCTACAATGGTGGATTGATACGTATACTGTAATTTTCAAGAACCCTCTACCGTTGTAGCAGTGTGAGTTCCAATGCTAACGCTTGTTAACTCTGTATAGTGAGTTTAATTTTTTGACCATAGATTGTTATATTATAATTTGATTGGTATATGATTTGCCTATGGTTTGTGTTTATTGCTTTTCAATTATCACCAGTTTGATCTTGTGATATTTAAGAAGTGATGGGGTTTTTTGTTTTTTTGGTATGAAGAGTGGTTAAATGTTTAATTGTTAGTAATTGCTTTTTTGTGCCTAACACAGGGTTGGATTTTAGTTTAATCTTTGTTAACTTTTGAATATTGATAGTGAATTTTGGACGGTTTTGTGTACTAAGATTTATGTGTGATTGTTGTAGATACTACAATTGGCACATTAAATTGCAATCTATTAAATTAATCTGTCATTGGATAATTTTTAATTGGTAATCTATTTAAGAGTTTGGCCTATTCTATGCAGGTTCTGCAAACTTGTGTCGATTTGAAACTTGCGAGCTCTCTGCTAGATTTTGAATGCCATTTCAATGAAGTCCTTGAGAAGAAGATGCGATGAGTTTAGTTGTTTTGTTATGTAGATAGATATAACTCCAATTACAATCTGTTCATTGAATAGTTGAATGTTACAAACAATGCTTATGACACTAGCCTTATAAATTGGAAATGATACTTTTGAAATCTCTGTCAGTTTATGGTATACAATCAAGATATTACATACTAATGAATCAGAGCATGGTATTTTTTTGTTATTGAAATATCTTTTGATTAAGCCTCTTTGAATGTGATGAGCATTTTTTTTTTCGTGTAGTTGAATTTTAATTTAGAGATGAACAGATAGTCTGGTGATATGTTTGATATTTTCTGTTTGGTTGTTGAGAAATCAAGAAAGGAATATAAGTTGATGGTCATACTAGTATTTTTAGAGTAATTGTTACAAAATAAATAAATAAATAAAATAAAAATATCAAACTTTTAGAGACCAATTTTAGTTGTCTCAAAAAAATTATAACCCTTACACACCACTTTCATTTGTTCCAAAAACTAAAACTTTTGGAGACCACTTTCATTTGTCCCAAAAACTAAACTTATAGAGACCAATTTCTATTGTCTCAAAAATTAATTTTTGTCTAGATTATAATTTGACTTTTAGAGACAAATTTTGGTGGTCTCAAAATCAAAACTTTTTGCAACCACATATTTTTGTCTCTAAAAGTCTATTTATAGTGACAAATGCAAAATTTTGTCTCTAAAAGTCATTTTTTGACTTTTCCGGACGGGTCATTTGGGACAAACTTCGCAACGGAGAAAATTGGTTGGCAAAAGTTTTTCCCAACAAATATTACACTTTTAGGGACAGAATAAATTTGTCCCTAAAAAACTGATTTCTAGTAGTGTGAGTTTAGTTTTGATACGAGGATTGGGCATACATCAAAAGGTTAATAGAATAAAATTGTTAAATCTTACCAATCATCATTGCTTTTATTGTTTTTGACTTTCAGGTTATGGAGCATAGACTTGGCCATTGCCTTTTACTGAGAAGCAAGTAGTCACTTCAACAGATGTGTCTTAGGAGAAAAATTAGTAGCAAGGCATGCACTCAATTCAAGTCTCTTCCTCTCTCTCTCTCTCTCTCTCTCTCTCTCTCTCTCTCTCTCTCTAATGAAATTTGGAATATAAGTAGACTACTTCCTTTTTATCTCAAGTTTCCTTCAATTCTTTGAATTTAAATTGAGAACTTTACATGCCTTCAATTTTTATTTGTTTGTGTTTTTTACATATATGATTGTGTGTTTTCTCTTGCTAGCATATAATTTAGTGTCTCCTCATGGTGTCAATTTTATGAAAAGATATTCCTCTACATATGGCTAAACTAGATTTTTAAACTAGCTATAAATTGTTGGGATTAATTTATCCAGAGTAATGACTGGTGACTGCGAATGTTGTTTCATTAGGGTGTGATTTATTCCTTTTTTTATATCATCTTTTTTTGAAAGCATATATTTCCTTTGCTTTTAAAAAGTGTACATGAGAATGAAATAATGTGGCTAGCTCATGTTTAGTCTTCTTACTCATTTGCTTTCTTTCTTGGTGAATAATTTTGTAGTTTTCTGTGACACCTAAAATTAACCATTCATGACAAATTAGTTTTAACTTTAAACTGCATTTAGATATTAACATTTAGCATCATAATGTTCTCTTGTTTGTCTTTACTTTCTATGTCATAAAGAGGGAGTGCATATACTTTTATTGAAAAAGAAAACAGAAAAAAAAGAAAGTGGACTACAACATATTTCTATCTGCAGCAAATTGGAATTGTTCACATTTTTTTCCCTTTTGGTACATGTAACACACACTATGTTGTATTCTTAAGTTGCCTATCCCAAAACATAAATTTTGTTAATTTCTTGGTATACTAATGCAGGTCAATAAATACTAGGATTGACTTCTACACGAAATTGTGTGGAGTTTCCATTATTCGAAAGTGAGCATTGAATCAAGTATTAATAGAGGCACTTCTGGTTCTGGAAATAATTTATTGAAGAACCATGATAGCTCGAGTATTCTTCTGTTATGATGAATGAATAACCATTTATTATAAAAGGAACCTTTATATATGTAGCTCACATTTAAGCCGTCCATCTAGATTTGACTCTTACCCAGGACATCTATATATTGTACTTTGCCTTATCCATGTTATGAAACTGTTGTTATTATTATGCTATAGTATTCACCTTTTACTGGATACCTTTCTGTTTTTGTGTAATGGAAAGGGGTTCTCCATTGACATCTTCTCTCTCTGTTGTAGGTTAGGGTGTTATGCGAGAAGGCTAACGGGATTCTAATGGAAGAAAGCAATGTGACCATCTTTTGTCTTGACTCTTCCCGATAGGAATAAACAAACTTGTCCAATATGCCATATAATGTGGAAGTAGTAAAGAGTTCAAATTGATTCTTATTCTTCACTAATTCTTCACTTTGATTCTTATGTTTATAAATATATTTTCTGCACTTATTACGCACATTATCCCATAGTGATTCTTATTCTTATTCTTATAAATATAATGTGGAAGTAGTAAAGAGTTCAAATATATTCTTATTCGTATTCCTCTTGTATTTTTCTGCACTTATTACGCACATTATAGAGAAAGAGAAATGTAGGCCTTTTCCAAGTTGCTGTTTTCATCTGTCCAGGATAGCACCTTTTTCGAAAGCTGTGGTGTGGCTGACCTTATAACAACTTGCTGTCAGTAGCCAGATAGATTTCTTTGCTTTCCAAGTTCTACAAATTTTGCCTTCATAACATCGGTTGCTCATGATAGAAACATGCAACCTTATTATGTTGTTTCGATATGGCAATAGGGGGAAGAAATAGGAAATGTGCAGAGGCTTTTGCTAGGAATGGCGGGAAAAGGTATGCATCTGTTAGATCCATTTAGTGCTGAAAAACTTTTAGTAGAGATTAATCACTAATCATGTTTGGCCTCGTTGGTCTTCATCTGCAGGTCTTTTGATGAGCTTGAAGAAGAGATATTGCAGGGCCAGAAATTACAAGTAAATACAAAAATAGTTATAGTGAAGAGCAGCACTGCTATTAGTTAAAGAATAAATAAATAATAGCAGACTGCTAGGGTTAATGTCTTGTGCTTGAATTCTTATCAAAGTAAATGTGTACAAATAGGTCTTTTGATCTTTATTTTGGTGGTAGGGCTTGGTTGTTCTTCACTGGGGGTTGGGGCATTCTCTGAAAATGGACCGTTTAGGCCTAGTGGGAAGGCACTGGTCAGGAATGAATATAGCTAGAACAGAGGTACTATACTATACTATACTTTATATATACCCTTACAAGTTATATAACTGGTTTGGCTTCTAAGAATTGATTTCATGTGATTGTGTACTTATTGATCCACAAAAACAAATATGTTGTATTTGGAGATTGTGCTTATTAAACCTTATGCTAATTTCTCTGTGAGAGCAATTGTAGAGTGTACTTAATTTTTGAATGCAGATTGCAATCTAGTTATCAAAACACATCAACCATACATATATATAGATTATATAAAGTGAAGAAGTAACTGAAAAATTAAATATTGAGGTGGTGAAAGGGACTTGAACCTAAGACCATTAGTTTGGTAAACAATACTTTTATTACTTGAGCAATACCAATGTAAATAACACTTTTAAGCAATAGACACACTACATGTTTTTAATTCAAAATCAAAATTTATATTTTATAATTTAAAAGTACATCTATCAAGTGAGCACACACCCACTAATATATATATATATGTGCGCGCGTGTGTGGAGTGGAGTAATAGGACACTTCACTTGGTGACTTAAATTAACAACAATTTTGGGAGCTTAATATCATAGAAAATTCTTTGTTATTGAAAAGATTAAAAAATATTATTTCAGTACCCATGACCAATGTAATGAAGCCTAGTAATCATTTTTTTATTTTTTCTTTTTATGATATATCGAACGGAAAATTATTTAATTTTCTTAAAGTATCATCGTCGCATGTGCATGTAATACTTTCGACCAATGAAGTCACATTAAAGAAGATGAATGATATTGACCTTATCTCTCACCTAACTAAACAAGTTGAGTTAGGCTAGCTTCACTCATCCCATTACTAGTACTCTTATTAACATTAAAAGCACTACTTCAGTATATCGAGTCATTACTTCGGAAGTAATAAATAAATATTTATATAGAAGACTCTAGCATAGGGAGTGGACTCAAACACTTTACCTACTAGTGATGTGGCCACTTACTAAATGTTGGATTTTTGTTTTGCTAAATAGTGTGTTATAGTTTACATAATTCAATGGTTTGTCAAATTAAAAGTGAGGGGCAAAAAAACAGGTGCAAAAGGGAGGGGAAATGATTCTGATTGAAGTTGTGGAAGAGAAAAACAGATCAAGTAAGAGCAACAATGGTGCTGGTGCCACAAAGAAGAACAAAATCAATCAAACCCTTAAACGGTATTTTCGAAACATTGATCTTTCTGTTAGAATATCTTTTAACCAAGAAATTAAAAAAAAAAATTATAATAATTCAAAAGATTTTAATGGATTTTTATTTTACATTTTTATTATGTAGTGTGAGAAACCTGTCTAGTATGACAGAACAGATGAGCAAGGCAATGCTTGATAGTGTTGGCATTGCCACCGGGACTGTGATGGCACCGGTGGTTTAGTCGCAGGTGGGGAAGGCTTTCTTAGCCATGGTTCCAGGACAAGTCCTCTTGGCCTCACTCGATGCTGTCAGTAAGTAATAATTCTATTATCAATACAGAAATCATTAACATATTAAAAGACACAATATACATGATTTTACAAAATTTGTTAGTAGGACCTACTCTTAAAAAAAAATCTTGTCTGCAATCCATATATGCATTTTGTATCTGATTTTTTGACTAGTTTATGTATTCTTAGATTTATTCCAGTGAGTAAAGACTATAAAGTTTTGTGATTCAAAGAAAAGAATATGAAGTAATCACATTGATTTATCTTGAAACTACAGACAAAGTGTTAGATGCAGCTGAAGTTGTTGAAAGACAAGTCCTCTCTGCCACCTCTGCTGCCACAACCAAAATGGTTTCTGAAAGGTAAAAGACTTAATAGTGACTAAAACATGGTTTTATATAAATAACAGCAGATATTGGTGTACATTCACA